AAGTTTACAGAGCAAATTGGTTTTCCATTCAACAATCCATACATATTCTGTTTTGTGACATTTACTACAATCCCCACATTGTAACAGCACTCTTTTCACTTCCTCCTCACCCACTCCTTCGCTGTCCTTCCTTCTCATTACCTCCTGCTTTCCTAGTTCTATCCCTGGGCCGGGAGCTCTGGTAGTGTAGTGCCAAAGGCACTTGACTGCTAACCAGAAGGCTAGCAGTTCCAACCCACCAGCCACTCCTTGGAAGGAAGATGGGGCAATCTACTTCTGTAGTGATACTGCCTCAGAAACCCAAGGAGGGGTCGCTATGAGTCAGGTCCGACTCAACAGCACATAACAACAACAACATCATCCCTGGGCAAATGCTGTCCCTCTTGATCTCATATGCTTGACTGTTTCAATGAATGCATAGCCTCTTGATATTACTGTTCACCTTATTAGGCATGTCTACCATTTGACTGACAATTGAGTCATGCGGTTATTAAGTTCAGTTCCTAACTTGAAGGGTGTCTAAGTGTCATAGTCTCGTGGGTTCCACCAATCTTCATCAGACCAATAACGCAAACCAAATGCAACCACTGCCATGGAGTTGGATCTTACTCATAGTGACCCCTCCTTGGGTTTCAAAGGCAGTATCACTACGGAAGTAGATTGCCCAACCTTCCTTCCGAGGAGTGGCACCAATAAGCCTGGTCTTTGTGTGTGTGTGTGTGTGATTTTTGAGTTTATCTAGGTTTTCTGGTCTCAGGTGGTGGAGGCTGGGGTTCACATGCTCCATTAGTTCTTTGGACTAATTGTTTCCTGCACCTTTGATTTTCTTCACTCTTCTTTGCTCCAGATGGTGACAGACCAATAGCTGCACCTTAGATGGCTGCTTACAAGTTCTAAGACCCCAGTCACTACTCAAAGTAGGATGTAGAACATTGTCTTTGTAGACTATGTTATGCCAATTGAGCTTAGTGTGCCCCAAGATTATGGTCCTGAGCCTCCAAACCCAGTGACTCACTCCCTCAAGGTGTTTGGTTATGACTGAGACGTTTTCATAACTTTGTTGCTTATATGCTCTACTACATTCATAGGTATATTTACAGCATTTAAAAATATGTAAGTAGAGATAGTCTCTGTCAAACCTATATATTCATGGGTGTAGTCCCATTCACTTTCCCACCCCTGTTCAGATTGAGTGTCTCTGTATCCACTTGTAAATTATTATTACTATAATTGCAGGACTATGTATGTAATAGTATTCACTTTTGTTGCCTTTAACTCTTGTGCTCCTCCCTATCTCTTCCACTGCCTTGATCATTTTATGCTGACCTCCCCTTTATTATATACTACTTTTCCCTTCACCCAAGTTAATACATGTCTACCCTCTAGTTGATGATTTTCCCCCCTTTTCCCTCTCACTCCTGGTAAACTTCAAAAAATAATTCTTTCTGTGTGTAACACTTTAACTTTTTACATAATGGTCTCATACAATTAACTGTCCCTTTGTGATTGACTCATTTCACTCAGTATAATGTCCTCTGGGCTCATCCACATATTTTGCAGATTCATCATCACTCTTTAATGTTACATGGTACTCAATTGTATGTATGTAGCATAGTTTGTTTATCCATTCATCCGTTAATGGGCACTCAGGTTGTTTCCATCTTTTTGCTACTGTGAATAATGCTGTGATGAACATGGATGTGCATGTAACTGTTCATATCACCACTTTTCTTTCTCTAGGATATATATACCTAGTAGTGGGATTGCTGAATTGTATGGTATTTCTATTTCCAACTTCTAAAAAAGTATCTCAGTGCTTTTCACAGTTGCTGTACCATTTTACAATCCCATCAGCAGTGAATGAATGTTCCAATCTCTCCACACCCTCACCAGCATTCAGGTTTTTTTTTTTTTTTTTTTTACTTTGCTATTAATGCTGGGATAAGATATCTCATTGTTGTTCTGAGTTACATCTCTCTAATGGCTAATGATCATGAGCATTTCTTCATGTTTGTTAGACGCCTGAATGTCTTCTTTGAGGAAGTGTCTGTTCATGTCCTATGCCCATTTTTTACTAGGACTGCTTGTCTTTTTGCTGTCAAGTTGTTGAAGTTTTCTATAAATTTAGGAGATTAGTCCCTTGTTTGATATATCATTACCAAAAATTGTTATCAGTCTGTAAGTTCTCTTTTTATGAAGTTTCCAGTCGTTTAGTGCCTAAGGCATTTGACTGCTAACCAGAAGGTTGGCGGTTCAAACCCACCAGTCACTCTACTGAAGGAAGACCAGCAACCTACTCCTGTAAAGATTTACCACCTCAGAGGGACGGACATGGCGAATGGGGAATGAAACTAAATGTATGCATGACATTGAATGTAAAACAAGCTCTTAAAATAAAAATAATAATTAAAAAAAAATAAGATTTACCACCTTGGAAACCCAATGGGGGTCACTATGAGTCAGAATTGACTCCATGGCAGTGAGTTTGGTTTTTGGTTTTTTTTTTTTAAGTTCTCTTTTTACTCTTTTGACAAAGTCTTTTGATGCACATAAATGCTTAATTTTTAGGAGGTCCCAGTCATCTAGTTTGTCTTCTGTTGTTTATGCATTTTTAGTTATGTTCAATAGTATATTTATGCCATGCACTAGGGGCCCTAAGTTTGTTCCCTCCCTTTTTTTTTTTATGATTTTTATTGTTTCGAGTTTTACATTTAGATCTTTGATCTTGATTTAGTTTTTATATACGGTGTGAGATAAGAATGCTGTCTCATTTTTCTGCGAACAGATGTCCAGTTCTGCCAGCACCAATGCTGAAGAGACTATCACTTCCCCATTTAATGAGTTTTGGTCTTTTGTCAAAGGTAAGCTGTCTATAGGTGGGTGGATTTACTTATGGGTTCTCAATTCTGTTCCACTGGTTGATGGGTCTGCCATTGTACCAATATCAGGCTGTTTTGACTGTTGTGGCTATATAGTAAGTTCTGAGATCAAGGAGTGTGAAGCCACCTACTTTGTTAGTAGTGTTTTGCTTGTCTGAGGTTTCTTTCCTTTCCATATAAAACTAGTAATAGCTTTTCCATCTCTTTAAAGAATGATGATGGAATTTGGATTAGGCTTGTATTACGTCTGTAGATTGCCTTGGGTAGTACTGTCATTTCTACAATGTAAAGTCTTCCTATCTATGAGCATGGTATATTCTTCCATTTATGTAGATCTCTTTTGGTTTCTTGTAGTAGTATTATGTAATTTTCTTTGCATAGGTATTTCATGTCTCTGATTAGATTTATTCCTAAGTACACTTCATCTTTTGGGTGACTATTAAAAATGGTCTTGTTTTCCTGATTTTCTTTTCAGAGTTCTTTTCATTAATGTAGAGGAATCCTATTGATTTTTATATTTTGATCTTGTCCCCTGCCACTGTGCTGAAGTCTTCTATTAGTTCCAATAGTTTTCTTGTTGAGTCTCTAGGATTTTCTATGTACAAGATCATATCATTTGCAAACAGAGATAGTTTTACTTCTTCTTTGCCAATATGGATACCTTTTGCTCTGCCTAGGACTTCCAATACAATATTGAATAAGAGTAGAGATAAAGGGCATCCTTATGTGGTTCCCATTTGCAAGGGAAATGTCTTCAGTCTCTCCAGTGAGAATGATATTGGCTGTTGGTTTGTATATATGGCCCTTCATTATATTAAGGAATTTCCCTTCTCTTCCTATTTTGCTGAGCATTTTTATTGAGAATGGATGCTGGATTTTGTCAAATGCCTTCTCTGCACCAATTGTTATGATCATCTGGTTTTTTCCCTTTGTTCTATTTATGTGATAGATTATGTTGAATGTTTTTCTAATGATGAACCATCCTTGCACACCTGGTATGAATCCCACTTGGTCATGATGTATTATTTTTTTGATACATTGTTGGAGTACTGGCTAGGATTTTTTTTTTAGCATGTTTGTATCAATGTTTATGAGACATATTGGTCAGTAATTTCCTTTCTAGTGATGTCTTTACCTGGTTTTGGTATCAGGGTTACGCTTGCTTTATAGAATGAGTCCAGTAGCACTCCATCCTTTTCTATGAAGAACATCATTATCTTTTAAGACAGCTAAAATTATAATATCAAACAAGCTCTCTTATAAGAAAAATCCTAGCGCTATTCATGTTCTACAGCCTTCCCATTACCCATAATGAATTTTGGCATGATCATGAAACTATAAAAACTCCATTTTGCAGAGAAGAAAATTCAAAGTAAAACTACAAATTGAAATTGCTCTTCTCTGAATTTTCAAAGCCTTTTTTCACACATGATAAATAAAATTGTACTTGGTATTACATGAGTTTGCCTTAGAACTAAGTTGTGAAAATATTAATGAGGAATGGAGGAAAAGAAGGCAGAAAGAGGAAGTCTTACTGAATTCTTAGCATACAGTATGTACTATTCTAAGTCTTTACATATATTATCTGATTTAATACTCATAATGTCTTCATGAACCAGGTATTACTATTTTTTGCCCCATGAGGAAATTAAGTTAAGCAACTTGTCCAAGGTTACAAAGCTGGTAAATGGTAGAGCCAAGACTGGAATCCAGGCAGTGTAATTCATAACAAGCACCTACAATATGACTGTAACATAAACCATTACCCCTTTCAAAAGAACAAATAAATAAACATTTTACCAAATGACCAAAGACTTCTTGTCAGGTTTTGACTTCTGAACTATTTTATTGGGATATCAAATTGACTTCCCCTGCTTTTTCAAAAGTTTTCTAATTATGTGAACTAAAGCTTTAGCTTCATCTATTTGACATCTAGATTTCATTCCTCTATAGCTCATCCATAAGACTACCAGATACAATTGAATATGCTCACTAGCAGATTTAGAAAATACATGTATGTTTGATCCTTGGCATAGTAGATACAATATGATTTTTAAAAACTCTTTAGCATATACTGTTACTACCAAAAACAAAAAAGAATGAAATGACTATGAAACTCACGTGCACAGAATAACAAGAGAACAAGGGAATAATTCCTGGTATTGAAGGCAGCATTTTAATACTCGATCATCATTGTTCTCATCACTTAATCCATCTGTAAATTTAGCAAAAGCAACTGTTAACAAACAACAAGAATCTGAGTACCATACTAACTAGAATCTGGATTATATGTACAAATCAAAAATATCTAAAAGAAAGAATACTTTTTAAATAAAAAGAGGAAAATAAGACACAGTGAAAAGAATGCCTTGAAAACTAAGGATCTAGAATTTATGTAACATATAATTGCAGATTTAATGAAGTGTCTAGTTTACTTCTAAAATGAAACAGTATATGCTTGTTAATAAACACAAAGAAAAAAATGTTATCATTAAATGTCAGACTAGAATCCAAAAGTTCCAATTCTTGTCCCAGTTCACTCACCCAGAGATTATAAATAAATTATATAATTACATCAGCTTAAAATTACCTCTGTAATGAGCAACTATACCACTAGCAAAACCACCAGTTTCTTATGCCTGCTCTTCCTTATCCTCTAGAGCAATACGATTTAGAGTTGTACAGAAGAGGGCGATATGGGCTCTAGGAAGAGAACATAAAAAGTAATTTCTAGAGCTGTTCCATTGTGGGGAATTGCAGTCAATGTCATGAAACAAAATGTGTACGTGTATGTAGTGCTGTATGAAAAATTTGCTCTGTAAACTTCCATCCTACTCACAATTTAAAAAAAATTCTAACAAACATTCATCAGTGGCTGACAGATATTTTCTTTATGAAAGGTGTCCTATGGTACTTTTCAAGCCTTACAGCACATAGTGAAAGTTCCATTTTTGTGAAAATAATGCAATGTATAGAAATATGGCCTAAGAGAACCTTTATCGCTGATCCTTATACTATTTGCATCAGAATTACTTAGGATATTCACTAATAATCCAGATTCCTGGACCAAGCCCTAGAATTACTTCTGGATAAGAATCTTTGGAGATGGAAGAGAAATTCAAGGCATACTAGGCAATGAGCCTTAACTCTATTCCCAGTTTACATTTTCTCCTCATGTTTTAGCCCATACATACTACTTAATTCAGTCCTCTAATCATTCAAATCAGAAAACTAATTCATTCTACTGATAAATATTTATAAAGAGCATAATTCGGTTTTTTGTTTTGTTTCTTTGCTCTCTTTCTACTTCCTCCCAGTAGTTATCTCTTCCCTATGTCCTTCTTGCCTATGCATTTCTGCCCCTTGAGCTATCTCCCTGTGCAAATACTATCCTTCCATTCTCCCATGATTGATCATTCTAAGGAGTGTATCTACCTGATGTAAATGTTCACCCTATCTGCCTGACTACTGTTTGGCTGGAAGCCACAGGAATGAGTTCAATTCCAAGCCAAGGCCACAGTTTAAGGAGTGTCACCAGACTCTATCAAACCAGCCTTGAATTTGAGTTTTGTTCCACACTGTTCTCCCACTCTATCTACGATCTCTTGCACTAATCCTTTTCCAAGTAGTTGACAGGGATAGCTGGGCACCATCTAGTTCTTCTGATCTCATGGTCATATATAGGATGAGGTTTGCATGGTGCACTAGTCCCTTGGACCAACTGTTTCTGTACATTTTTGGTTTTTTTCATTCTTCTTTGCTCTGGATGAGAAGAGACCCATTGTTGCATCTAGATGGCTGCTTGCAAGCTTTTAAAGCCCCCAGTTGCTACTCACCAAAGTAGGGTAAGGAACAATGTTTCTGTGTAGTATGTTATGCCAATTGAGCCAAATGATGTCCCCTGCAACCATAGTCCTGAGCCCACAGGTCCAAATATTCGCTCCCTCAGGATGGTTGGCTGTGACTAAGAAGTTGTACTGACTTTGCCCCTTGTTAGCTCTAGTTTATATATATGGACATTTTACAGTACATACAAATACATATGTAGAAATATTGTCTGCCAATCTTATATATGGTCATAGATATATGACCTTTTGCCTAGACATACCTGATCATTCAGCCTGTCTACCCATCTATTTACCCATAGATTAATGGTTGTTATCACTGATAATGTGGTATTATATATGTAAAAGGATTTATCTTTGTTGTCTATACCTCTTGTGTACCTCTCTGTGTCTTCCTTTTCCTTAGTGTTATTATTATGTTGATCACTCACATTTCCCTTCTAGCAGTGCTCCCTCCCCATGCCTGGTAACCAAAAAACAAAGTTTCCTTCCATATATAAACCTTTCCTTGACTTTTCACAATAGTGAACTAATACAATGTTTGTCCTTCTGAATTGACTTATTTCACTCAGCATAATGTCCTCCAAGTTCTTCCTAGGACACATCTAAAACTGAAAAAATATTCATATTTAGTCATTCAACAAATATTTCTGAGACACAAGTACAAATACTCCTCAAACATAATCAAACACCTTCCAACATTAGAGTTCTAGGTTTGATGGCTTAGGACCACAGTCTTGAGGGACAACTCAGTCAATTGACATTAACATAGTTCACAAAAGTCAAGATCTGCATCCTAGTGAAGTAAGTACCGTCTGGGTCTTAAAAAGCTTGCAAACAGCCATCTATAACTAACTATGGGTCTCACTTGCCAGGAGTAAAAAAGTAGAAGGTAACCAAAAACTCAGCGAAGAAACAAGTCTACAGGAGCCACAACTTCATCTACCCTGAGACCAAAAGAAGTAGTAAGACAATGCCTGGCTATCACCACTGACTGTTCTGACTGAGGTCATAATAGTTGGTCCCAGATAGAATGGGATGAAAATATGGAACAGAACTGAGACTCTTGGGGGAAGGGGAGTGGGGGAGATAAACTAGAACAGTAAAGAATAGAGGACTCCCTGAGACTGTCACCCCAAGATACTCTTTGCACCTAAAACAAAGCCAGTACCCTAAGATAGGCTTTTAGCGAAATAGAGTGGCACACAAAAGAAAGATATTACCTATAAGATCAGTGCCCTACTTAAAAACCACCAATATCAGACCAAAAGGTCAATAATTACTCAAAAGCAAAGATGAGAGGGAAGGAGGTAGGGAAACCAAAGTACTGAAAAGGGAAAAAACTCAACACAATGAAAAAGAATATTGACACACTGTGATAAATGAAACTGATGTCACTGAACAATTAGTGTAGAAATTATCAAGTGGAAATCTAATTTGCTGTGTAAACTTTCACCAAAAATACAATAAAATATTACATTTTTTGAAGAAAAAAAAAGCTCTTAAATTATCAGGCTCAATTCCTACCCAAAATTCACTAGCATTTTATTTGGAACATACTAAAAATCCAAAAACCAAATTCATTGCCATCAAGTTGATTCTGACTCAAGGAGATGCTGTATGTTAGAGCAGAACTGCTCCATAGGGTATTCCTGGCTGTAATCTGGGTGGTCCCTGGCAGACTGCTAGGTCTTTCTTCTGTGATGTACTGGATGGTTTAAACCACCAACCTGTAGGTTAGCAGTTGAATGTAAACCATTTGTGCCATTCAGGGACCAGGAATATATTTTTTAAAAATAAAAAAAAACCACTGCCATCGAGTTGATTCTGACTTATAGCAATCCTTTAGGGCAGAGTAGAACTGCCCATAGGGTTTCTAACACTGTAATCTTTACAGGAGTAGACTGCCTCATCTTTCTCCCGTGGAACAGCTGGTGGGTGCAAACTGCTGACCCTTTGGGTTATAGCCGAATTTTTTAACCACTGCACCACCAGAGCTCCTTTGCAACATAATAGAAGCTAATAAATATTTGTTATAGAAATGAATGAATGTGAGACAAAGTATATGTGAACTGCTGTATGGAAAGTGAATTTGCTCTGTAAATCTTCACCCAAATCACAATAAAAAAAAAAATTGAGAAGGAAAAAAAAAAAAGAAATGAATGAATGAACAAATACACAATAGAGGCCCTTTCTCTTAAAAAACTTAGAAGACTAAACAACTGTGCCAAAATCCTTTATCAGGGTTAATATCATGATCATGGTTAGATTCATATTAAGATGAATTCTTCCAGATATTATTGTGAGTATGGGTACAGTGGACAGCATAAAGCCATGGTATTTAAAATATTGTAAATGCACATGGTAAATAATTCTGAATTGGGAAGAAACAGATTCTTTTAAAAGAATGAAATAAATCTAAACATATGTATTATCAGAGACAATAATATATTCCCTTATACATAGATCTTTTTTCTCAATAAGCTACATAAGCATGAAGTCCCTGGGTGGTGCAAATGGTTAACGCACTTAGCTACTAACTGAAAGGCTGGAGACTCAAGTCCACCCAGAGACACCTCAGAAGAATACCTGGCAATCTACTGTAAAATCAGCCACTGAAAATTCTAAGAAGCACAGTTCTACTCTGATATACCTGAGGTCTCCATGAGTTGGAATCAACTCAATGGTGACTTTATATAAAGAACTACATAATAAGGTTCTAGGCCTAGAGAAATCAGAGAATGACTTAAACTAATATAAAAATAATAAAATCAGAGGAAAATCTATGGGCCTTTATTATAAAGACAACTCCCTACTACAAATTCTGTCAAACTACAGAATGAACAATGTCTGCCTCTACAGCATATTAACTGCATGAAGTGACAGAATAGAAACCTAGATCCTTACTGGCCTCATCACTAAACAATGCCATTTAAAAAAAAACAAAGAATCCAAAGCACTGTAGTATGGACAATTATACAGAAGTATACAGAACTATACATATAGAACTATGTACTCACTATCTGCAAATTAGAGATATAGCCCAATAAAGTATAGGAGAAGCAGGAAAATAAAAATCAAAGGCCCCCATATTTAACCTAACAGAATATCATTCTATTCTATCATCATGCCCTGCCATTTTACATTTCAATGGTTACAAAATTTTAAATAGCTTTGCAAGATTCCCCTCCATTAACTGTCAGCACCCAAATATGTCTAATTGATCAGGAATCATCCTAAGAGAACAATACTTACAAAATTTTTGAGATGCAAGTTGTATTGATTGACCCCATAGCTTTTTATCTTGATTTTTGAGACTGTCATTGATGAAATGAACTGCAGGTATAGCTTTATGCTGGGCATGTTTTAGTAGTTTTCCTGCCTTCATACGATCTAGTTCTTGTATAACAATCCAGGGAATTATCAAAACAAATCTGTCAAAGCCTAAAAAATGAAGTCAACAAGTATTTATCAAGCTACTAAATTGAACTGCTGTAGGGAAACTAAAGAGTTTGTTTTTTTTTTTTTTTTAAAAAAGCACATAGTCCCTACCTTTAAAGAAATTCACAATGTAAATAGAGAAACAATACATAAAAAACAGAAATTAAAAACAAGGTATAAATGAGACCAGAAAGAACTAGATGGTACCTGGCTACCTCTGCCATCCACTCAGAAAGGGATCAAAATTGTAGATCCTGGATAGAGTGGGAGAAAATTATGGAACAAAACTCAAAATCGTAAAAAAGACCAAGTTTACTGGTCTGATACAGACTGTGAAATGCTTAATACTATGGCCCCTAATCACTCTTTTGGCCTGGAATCAAACTCATTCTTCATGGTTTAACTTTCAGTCAAACAGACAAGCCTTATACCAGGGTGGTGCACTGCTTAGAACAACCAACCTTGGGAGATCACAAGGGTATCATTTATGCAGGGAGGAAGTTTGGAAGGCAGGAATGCATAAGAGGGAAGGCCATAGGGAAGGGATAACCACAGAGAAGTAGAAGGAAGAGAACTATTATATTGTGAAGATTACAATCAATGTCACAAAACAAAATGTGTATAACTGTTGAATGGAAAATGAATTTGCTCTGTAAACTTTCACCCAAATCACAATAAAAAAGTTATTTTTAAAAAAAAAAACAAACCACTGCCATCAAGTCCGATCTGACTCATAGTGACCCGCCCTCCCTTGGGCTTCCAAGGTGATATCACTATGCAAGTAGATTGCCCAACCTTCCTTCTGAGGAGTGGCTGAAAGAATGTCATAAAAATAAATACTGCTGGAGTTCAAAGAAGAGCAAGTAGATTGGTGGGTTAACCTATGAAAGCTTTTAGTTTATTTAAACTGATGATGCTTAATATCTATATGCTTAATAGCATATGCAGTTGTGAATACCACATTACTCTTAAGATAAAATAACAGCGCAAATAAAAAAATCATAATCAGTAAATATATTTTGTAAATACCTGGTATTTCTGTTGTCTTTAAAATTCTAACAAACTTGAGATGATTCATTAGAATATTTGTGTCAATAACAGTTAGAAGCATTTTGTCTGAAGCAGTATTCACTAAAGAAAAAGAACAAAGTTATGATTTTAGTATTCAATCATCATTCATGATACAGTGAAACCTGTGGAACCTGATTGGACTGCTTTGTTTTTCTGGGTCTCACCAGTTTTCTGTCTTTGACAGGGTACATTCTTATCCCTTTTTTATCACTTACTCAGTGGAAAATATTTCAGCTTTCCTTCTCTGTCACGTTTCTACCTTACAAAGGTTCCAGCTCTCAAAGGTTTTACTGTACTCAATGACGGACATATTAACTAACATTTTCAAATTATAGAACTTTTTATAATCCTTTAAAGAAAGTCCTTTAGACAATGAAAAGAAAATTGCTTTTACTCGAATTCTTGAGAGAAAGAACTATAATCAGTGTTTAATTATTTACCAGTAGAATATTATGAATTGCTAATGGGTGGATTTTAAATCATAAGCTGATTTGCCCAACCACGACATTTCTAAGACTTGTCAAGAATCGTTGAGTAGCTATACACTTAGGAATTATAAGCTAATTTTAATATAGTTTGAGTGAAGTATAATTGAAAAGACAAATATGGATAAAACAAAGAAAACACAAAATAACATCAACATTGTTACTTAACAAAGAATTAGGTAAGTTCATGCATATGGAAGAACTTAGTAAATTAAAAAATGTAATATACCTCATAGTCATCAAATGTTTGATTTTTCTCAGTAGAAATAAAATTAAATTCAACTCCATTACATTTGTAGGTATGTATTTCTAAGTATGTAGGTATTTCTAAGCATGTATCCCAACTTAATACAGGTATTAAAGGCACAAAAATAAATTAAGACATAATCTCTATTTCCAAGGAACTCAGTTTAGAAAATGAAATGAATTTTTAGCTTTAAAGGCAGAGTTAAGCCATTCTAAAAAAGTATTCTCCTTTAAGCCTGGGAATTAAGCTTGTAGAATTCCTCAACTTCCCTGAAAGTCATTTATTTGGAATTTTGGCTGTCTTCTTTAAAAATGATTAGTAAGAAAATTAAGTAACTTTAATAAAAATCAGAAATTTACTACACTGTCAGTAAGCCACTTTTATTATTCAGCTCAGAATATGAAAAAAAAATTTAGTTAGGTGTTACTTAAAACTGGGAAAAAAATAATTCACATGCTGTTATTTATTTGTGAAGAAACAGAGGACTGTTCAGGGCAGGCAATGTAATCCAGTCAAATTACAGGAATTAAAAGGCTAGTATTTTTGTAACTCAAAGTATTTTACTGTAACACAATAAACAGCAAAAACTATTCAAGCTTTTTAAAAAACTACAATGTAGATGTAAAGTAAATTACTATTTTTAGAAATACAACTGAGAATAGTATAATGGATTTTAAATAAGCTCTATCATTATCTTCACCAAGTTAAGATGTTGAAAATTGACTATATAGACAAAAGAAGTTCATGAAAATAATACCTTGAGCAATTTGTATTATTTTTTTGATAAGTGTTTTATGTAGTTAAAATTGTTAAAAGTTAAGATTACATGAAAAAATAAAAGATAACTCCTAATTCTAACTATCGTCCCTTGGTAAGAATAGAAAGAGAAAATCATATGCAAATGTCTTATACTTGAGATATATAAAACAAATGATAAGAAATAAAACATACCTGATTCCTATTGCTAAAACAACATAATTTAACATTTTTCATCTAAATATTATAAAAAATATTGGTACATTAATTATTAAGCAAGTATAGGAGCACATAAAGAATAAATATAAGAAATACCAGCAGAGGAATGTATGTTATCTTCTACCAAGTCAATTTCCATACTCATTAACTCTCCAGAAGGTGGAACCACAGGTAAATCCACACTTTTTCCCACACGTGCAGCATGAAGCTCTTCTATGATCTGCATCTAAATTGTCGAAGAATTACAGGAAAATATTTTTGCTATTTTCTCTCAGATTAATAATGGGAAGAAAGTAATTAGTTCATTCAAGATGAGATGTGTTTGTGGAATGAAAAAGTTTTTACAAAAATCTGAACCAGCATGGTAAAAGAAAACTGAGTTATAAACATATAGATGGCTTTAAGAACAGTTCTTCTCTTATTACCTCTGTAGCCTTCAAAACCAAACCAAATTCAACTGCCACTGAGTCGATTCCAACTCATAGCGACTCGCATTGGGTTTCCAAATCTGTAATTCTTTAGGGAAGCAGACTTCCTCACCTTTATTCCACAGAGCAACTAGTGGGTTCAAACTGCTGACCTTTTTTGGTTAGCAGCCAAATGCCTCAAACACTGCACCACCAGGATTTCTTCTGAAACCTTAGGGGAACAAATTATTTAACTATTTTGGGTATCAGTTTACTCATCTATAATAATAGAAATATTAAATATACATATTCTTTTTGGACTTTTTTTGTGTGTGTGATGATTAACAAAATAAGCTATGTGAACCACCTTACCCAGAGCCTGCTTTAAAGCAGACCTTCAAAATAAGTCAATTCTCAGTTGCCTCCTTAGCACAATAGGCAGCATGTCAGTCTCATAAACTAAGTAGATTCTCATTTCTTTTCTCATTTCAAATGGAGTTGTGGTGGCACAGTGATTAAAAGCATTCAGCTGCTAATCAAAAGGCTGGCATTTTAAATCCACCAACCACACAGAAAATTACAGGGAACAAAAAAATCAGCAACACCATAAAAATAACACATAAAAAACAAAATGACAGGAATAAATTCATATGTGTTGATAATTACACTGAATGTAAATGGATTAAATGCACCAATCAAGAGATAGACAGTTAAAGAATGGATAAGAAAAAATGATCCATCAATATGCTATCTACAAGAGACTCACCACACAAGACATAAATACACACACAAAAAAAATCAAAGGTTGGAAAAAATATATCAACTAAATGACAATCAAAAACGAGGAGGAGTGGCAATATGAATTTCTGATAAAAGAGATTTTAAGACAAAAACCACCATAAAAGACAAGGAAGGACATTATAATGATTACAGGATCAACTGAACAAGAGGACATAATCATAAAAAATATCTATGCACTCAGTAAAAGAAGTAAAAAATACATAAATCAGACTTTAACAAAATTGAAAAGTTAAATATATGACTCCACAGTAATAGTAGGAGACTTTAATATACCACTTTCAATGAAGAACAATTAAAAAAACTCAACAAAGACAAAAAAGAACTAAACAATACAATCAACCAACTTCACTTTACAGACATATATAGAGCAATTCACCCAACAACAGCACAACATACATTCTTTTCTAGTGCACACGGAACATCTTCCAGAATAGACCATTTGTTAAGATACAAAGCAAACCTCAATAAATTTAAAAACACTGAAATACTGCAAAACATCTCACATCATAGTGCTATAAAATTAAAAATCAACAATAGAAAGATGATGGAAATAAAAGTAAATACATGGTACCAACTAAAAAAAGTCCTGGCCCAGACGGTTTCACTGGAGAATTCTATAAAACATTCAGAGAAGAAGTGATACCGATTCTACTCAAAGTATTCCAAAACATAGAAAAGGATGGAATCCTCCCTAACTCATTTTATGAAGCAAGCATAACCTTAATACCAAAACCGGGAAAAGACATCACCCAAAAGGAAAATTACAGACCAATATCCCTCATGAATATAGATGCAAAAATCTTCAACAAAATCCTAGCCAATAGACTCCAACAACATATCAAGAAAATCATTCATCATGACCAAGTGGGGTTCATACCAGGTATGCAGGGATGGTTCAACATTAGAGAAACAATCAATGTCATCCACCACATAAATAAAACAAAGGAGAAGAACCACATGATCATATCAATTGATGCAGAAAAGGCATTTGATAAAATCCAACACCCATTTCTGATCAAAACTCTCAGCAAAATAGGAATAGAAGGGACATTCCTCAACATAATAAAAGGCATTTATGCAAAACCAACAGCCAATATTACCCTCAATGGAGAGAGACTGAAACCATTCCTCTTGAGAACAGGAACTAGAAAAGTAAATACATGGAAGCTGAATGACATCCTCCTTAAAAACTACCAGGTAACAGAAAAAATAAAAATGAAATTTAAAAATTCCTAGAATCAAAGAAGAATGAAAACACAACATACCAAAATCTTTGGGACACAGCAAAACCAGTGATCAAAGGGAAATTTATGCCAATAAATGCACACATCTAAAAAGAAGAAAGAGCCAAAATTGATACCTAAAGCCAACATCTTCAAAACCAGAAGAAGAACAGCAAAAAAAAAAAAAAAGCCTACAGTCACCAGAAGAAAAGAAATAATAAAGATTCGAGCAGAAATAAGTGAAACACAAAAACAATAGAAAGAATCAAAAAGACCAGAAGTTGCTTTATGAAAACATTAATAAAATCGACAAACCACCAGCAAATTTTACAAAGGAAAAGGAAAATTAGATGCAAATACTACAAATAGCAAATGAAATGCACAATGTCACAATAGAACTAACCAAAATGAAAAGATCAACATAAGGATACTATAAAGAACTATGTTGTTGTTGTTGTTGTTGTTATGTGCCGTCGAGTCGTCCCTGACTCTTAGCAACCCCTCCTTGGGTTGCCGAGGCAGTATCACTATGGAAGTAGATTGCCCCATCTTCCTTACTCCAACAAATTTGAAAATCTAGAAGAAATGGACAGATTTCTAGAAACACATGACCTACCTAAACTAACTCACACAAAGGTAGAAAATTTGAACAGACCCATAATAAAAAAAGAAATTGAGCAGGTCATTAAAAAAAAAGTGGCAACAAAAAAAGTCCTGGCCTAGATGGCTTCATTGGAGAATTCTACCAAGCATCCAGAAAAGAGCTGACACCAGTGTTACTCAAGTTATTCCAGAATATAGAAAAGGTTGAATTACTGCCAAGTTCATTTTATGAAACAAGCATAACCCTGAGACCAAAACCAGGCAAAGACACTACTAGAAAGGAAAAGTTCTTATCAATATCCCTCATGAATACAGATGTAAAAATCTTAAAAAAAAATCCTAGCCAGTAGACTCTAACAACCTATCAAAAAACTAATACATCATGACCAAGTGGGACTGATACCAGGTACGCAAGGATGGTTAAACATTAGAAAAACAATCAACATAATCCATCACATAAGTAATATAAAGGAAAAGAACTACATAATCATATTAATTGTTGCAGAAAAAGCATTTGATAACATCCAATACCCATTCCTGATAAAAAGGAGCTCTGGTAGCATAGTGGATAAGGCCCTTGGCTGCTAACTTGAAGGTCAGTGGTTCAAACACACCAGCCGATCCACAGAAGGAAGAGAGGGTAATCTACTTCCGTAAAAAGTTGCAGCCTCACAGAAAATAACAAATGCTGGTGAGGATGCAGAGAGATAGAGACTCTCATACACGGTAGTGGGACTGTCAAATGATACAATCACTGTGGAAAGTAGTATGGTGATTCCTTAAAAGCTGGAATTAGAAATACCATTTGACTCAGCCATTCCATTACTAGGTATATATCCTAAAGAAGTGAGAGCCAGCACAAGAACAGATATATGCACACCCATGTTCATCGCAGCACTATTTACAATAGCCAAAAGATGTAAACAACCTAGGTGTCCATCAACTGAAGAATGGATGACCAAACTATGACACATACACACAATGCAATGCTATACAACCTTAAAGAATAGCACAGAATCTGCAAAACATCACATAAAGTAGATGAATTTGGAGGACATTATGCTGAGTGAAATAAGTCAATCACTCCAAAAAAACCAAACTCACTGCTGTCAAGTCGGATCCGACTCATAGCGACCCCTCCTTGGGTTTCCAAGGCAGTATTACTATGGAAGTAGATTGCCCAACCTTCCATCCAAGGAGTGGCTGATGGGTTTGAACTGCCAGCCTTCTGGTTAGCAGTCAAATGCCTTAGGCACTACACCACCAGAGCTCCCAAGTCTATCACAGAAGGACAAATATTGTATTAGTCTGTTATTGTAAAAAGTCAAGGAAAGGTTTATATTTGGAAGGAAACTTTGTTGGTTACCAGAGGTGGGAGGGGAGGGGAGGGAACACAGATAGGTAGAGAAAAGTATTGATTTGGGTGCAGAGAAGGGCAATGTACTAAATGTGAGTGATAAACAGGGTGGCACTGAGGAAGAAGACAGAGAGAGGTGCATGGGAGGTACAGACAAAAAGATGAACCCTTTTGTACATACAGTACTGCGTTGTCAGCGAAGGCAAACACGGATATACGGGTGGATAGATGGACACAGACAGGCTGAACTATTAGGTATGTCTATGCAGGGAGGAGTGTGCCCAAGACCATGCATAGGGTTGGCAGACAATGTTTCTACAAGTGTATCTCTATGTTCTGTAAGAATTCTCAGGTATATAGTAGAGCTGACAAGAGACAAGGTTTTTGTCACTTCTTGGCCACAGCCAGCTACCCAAGGGAGGAAGCAGTTAGACCTGAGGGCTTGAGACCATAGTCACAGGGGACATCAAGCTCAACTGGCATAGCATACTACCCAAAACATTGCTCCACATCCTACTTTGGCAAGTAGCAACTGGAATCTTAAAAGGTTGCAAGCAGCCATCTAGATGCAATGATGGGTCTCTCCTCATCCAAAGCAAAAAAGAATGAAGAAAACCAAAGATTCATGGAAACAATTAATCCAAGTGACTGGTACACCACACGATCCTCAGCCTATACGACTATGAGACCAGAAGAACTAGATGGTGCCCAGCTACCACTGTCAACCATTCAGTGGGGGATCTACGTAGGAGATCCTGGACAGAGTGGGAGAACAATGTGGAACAAAACTCAAAACCATTTAAAAAAAAGGTGGGGGGCCAGGTGTGCTGGTCTT